TGAGTTTTTCTGTGTTCTTTCCGATTTTCTGTCTACTTGCTCTGTTCTACCAATTGTTGAAACAGGGGTATTTAAGTCTCCACTATTATTGTGGACTTGTCTGTATCCCCTTTCAGTTCTGTCAGTTTTTGCTTTACATGTTTTGCTGCTTTGTTTTTTGGTGCATATCTATCTAGGATTAGCATGTCTTCTTGCTAGATTGAGTCTTACCATTGTAGAAAGTCCTTTTCTGTCTCCTGTAATTTCTCTGCTCTGACGTCTACTATATTTGATATTAATGTAGTTACTCTTGCTTTCCTTTGTAATGTTTTTATACTTTTACTTTCAACCTGCTTATCTTGGTTATTTGAAGTTAGTTTCTTAAAGAGAGAATCTAGTTAGGTAATGTTTTTTAATCCACTCTACCAATCTCTGTCTTCTAACTTCCATATTTAGACAATTTATATTTAATGTAGTCATTGACATGTTAGGCTTTGATCTGTCATTTTATTTTTTGTTTTTATTTTTCTCTCTGTTTTCATTTCTCTGTTTTTTTTTTCTTGCCTTCATGTGAACTTCAGCTTTTTTTTTAGAACTCCATTTTTATTTATCTTTGGTATTTTAAGTGCACCTCTTTGCATAACTTTTTTAGTGGTTGCTGTAGGTATTACATTATATATACATAACTTACACTGGTGTCCTCATTTTACCAGTTTGAGTGAAGTATAGAAATCTCACCTCCTTTTACTTCCCTTTACCCACTCCCCATTATAATATAAATGCCTTAGATATTTCTTCCACATACATTTGGAACACATCAGACAGTCTCACAATTTTTGCTTTAACCATCAAACATAATTTAGACCTCAAGAGAAGAAGGAAAGCCTTTTGTATTTACCTATATTTTTACTTACTGTGTTCTTCCTTCTGATGTTCTAAGATTCTATCATTATACCAGTACTATTTAGAGAACTTTTCTTTTTTCATGGTTTTAAGCATATTTGATATTAACAAATTCCCTTAATTTTCCTCATCTGAGAGTGTTTTGATTTCCCCTTCATTTCTGAAAGATGTTTTTGTGAGGTGTAAGATTCTGGGTTGACAGTTCTTTTCTTTTAACATTTGACAGACATTTTGCCATTTCTTTCTGGCCTCCATGGCTGCCATTCATTGTCTTTCTAATTGTTTTTACACTATAGGTAAAGTTTTGTTTCTCTTTATTTTTCAGAAGTTTAATTACGATGTTTCTTGGCATAAGATATTTGGGTTTATCCTATTTGAGTTTTGCCCAGTTTTTTTTTTCTTTCTTTCTGTCTTTCTTTTTTTTTAGTAATATGTAGGTGTATTTCTCTTGCCCAGTTCAGGAAGTTTTCATCTATCATTTCTTCATGTGCTTTTTCAGCCCCACCCTCATTCTCATATCTTCCTGGGACTCTGATCCCACGAGTGTTCAATCTGTTGTTATGGTGTCACAGGTCCCTGACACGCTATTTATTTCTTTCAGTATAATTTTTCTCTGTTGTTCAGATTGAGTAATTTTTATTGTTCTTGTCTTTAAGTTTACTGACTCTTGCCTCTGTTCTTTCCATTCTGCTCTTGTGCCTATCCACTGAAGTCTTACTTTGATTATTGCATTTTCAGTTGTAAAATTTCTATTTGGTTCTTCTTTATACCTTATATTTTCTTACTGAGACTTTCTATTTTTTATTTGTTTCAAGCAAGATTGTAATTGCTTGCTCAACTATTTTTACCATGACTGCTTTAAAATCTTTGACAGATAATTCTAACATCATCGTCTTCCTGGTGCTGGCATTTATTGATTGTTTCTTTACATTCAGTATAAGATCTTCATGGCTTTTGGTGTAAAAAGTGATTTTCTATTGAGAGTTGGAAATTTTATTTGCATTTAGGGGGAGGAAAATGTGAAACCGTGACTACTTTATCTGCTCTGAAGTGGAATTCCATAATTATGATCTTGTAAAACAGATATTTTATATATATTTTTCTCTTTAGGAAGAAATTTATAATTAAATTGTTTACCAGGAATAAGCATAAGTTTATATAACACTTTCAAATTCAAACAGAGTTGTGATTTGTAAATATATGTGTGAATGACTTTATTTAAATTACATCGATCAATCCTTTAATCTGTCATATAGCACTGAAAAAAAATTCTCCTGGGAGAAGTCATATACTTGCTTTGTATTTACAGAGCATTATGATTTTTTAACCAGACTTCTGTCTATTTCATATCTTGGTCTTTTTTATTTTCTCTTTTTCTAACATTCTCAATAGATAATAGATGTATGTGTAGATGTTTATATATGTATATATTATGGATGTATATATTATAGATATATATATTTAATTTTATAAAACCATATAATAGTACCATATCATTTTTTTCTGTTCTTAATTTCACACCAAGTTGTTCATTAACTAAAATCTTAGGATAATTGGGAATATAGCTAAACAAATATTACACTATTTCATTTTCATCTTTCTTTTTTAATAGCAGTTATATCAATTTCATCAAGTATTTTTGGGGTTGTACAATTTATCTTAAGAAAAGAAAAATTCTAATTTATGGCATTTTCAAATTTCAATGCCAATGTTTAGAAAGCATGCTTATTGTGCCTATGAAACATAATTTTAAAAGAAGCATAACTACTCAAATCAGATTCTTTTTAGATAGGCTGTCTTCTAGGGAGAAATCCTTTTAGGATTATTTTTAGCAGCCATTTCCATGATTTTTCACATCTTTGTGTTCTATACCACTTATTTATATGCAAGCATAATTCTGGAAATATGATGATTAAATTAAAAATAGGAGTGATGTGATTCAGCTAATTATGGTAGGCTAGAATATTAAAAGATATCTGTATTTTTTCCTAATTTATTAAATGTCTTTGTCTACATGGTGAGTTTTTTTTTTTTCTCTGATTCTGAAAACACTGCTACTTTATTTTTAAAACTCAACGGTATTATCTGCAGCAGTTCTCATGTTAAAGTGCTGTGGCATCTGTCCTTGCACAAGAAATGATACTTTCCATATCCCTAGTGGGAACTCTGACTCTTTTGCATTCTCATCTGCCTTAGGATCTCAGGTCTGGAAGGAATCTCAGAGGTTATCTTATACCTAACTTATAACTGAGTATAATAGCTCTATGCCACACCAATCTCCACCCACTAAATTTTGTATACTTTTGGAAAGAAATAGTAAACTTATCTTCTCATGTAAAAATACCAGTAACTAGATTCATGGCCATTGACACGAATTTTTAAGAAAATTTACAAACTAATGTTATAATTTTTATGCTTTCTTAATTATTTTTATCAGTTTGTATATTTAAAACATATTTTTGTGCGTTAGTATAAAAAAATGCAAGCATATTTCCAATGATTCCCCCACTGCTCCTATCAAAGGCTTGCCATTAAAGAGTAATAACTATTAATAATTTAAAATTGTCACATCTTCATTTATAGAATAGCTTCCACTCAATATCAATATTCAGCCACATAAGTAAGCATAATCATGCTGAAAACTAAATAATCTTAATTTAATTCACATAGTAAACATTTCCACATTAAGCATTATAGGCCTACTCATTGCTTACAGGATGAATGACAAACGTCTTAGCCTTCTAAAGCACTTTTAGAAATGCTCACCTCCTTCTTATCTCTCATTCTTCTGTATTCTTCTGGAAGTACCTAAAGTCCTTCCCAAGGTCATGCATCGTGACGCCTGCATGCGTACATGCAATTTGTTTCTTTATTTTAGAATGTTCCTTGTATGCATGGCAACCTCAGCTCAGGCCGTCTCCTCCATATAGCCGTTCCTGGCCAGTTCTTCCTTTGTGGATCTGAGGCAGTTTCCTTTTGCCTTACGCTGTACCAAACCCATGGTGACTTTCTATCATAGTACCCAGGACTTTTCTTTGTCCATGTGTAATGACACGACTGAATTTTTGAAGGCAGAGCTTGTTGTCACATTTTCCCTCCTTTTTCTTTTTTGAAATGTTCCAGAGCTAAGGTCTTCACATAGTCCTTAGTGTTTAGTAGATGCCCATGATGTTGTTTTTGTTCTGCAACTATAGGATTTTTTACTCCCTCTACACTTCTCAGCAGGACTTTCAGTAAATCCAGGAGGCCTAAACCACTACATTACTTGCACCCAGAATTCTGAATAATAAAGTAACAAGAATACCTTTTTAAAGAAATATCTGGTCATTTAGTTTGTGACTATATATTGACAATATATCTAATTTTATTTGGAAATAATTTCAAAAGTCTTAATTAGAAACTTTTGTTCCACAATCCTTTCCTCACCCCATAGCTTTGTAGATTGTCCCACATCCTTAGCTATCATCATCTGTGTCTTGAGTGATTTCGTACCAGCCATAGCATGACATAATGCAGTTTTAAGAATGCTGGTCTTTGTAACAGGTGTGTCATTGAGAGAAGAATACTTGAATACCGTGTGCATGGCTCCTCCCGAAGCGCTTGCATTAGAGAAATAGTGTAGCTATATAGTTGCTTTGTATCTGCAGGGAGAAAAAAGGCCAAGATAAATATTATCCCCCACTTAGACAAAGAAATAGTATACTCTATTTAAGACCATCCAACTTCTAACTCTTAATTTGAAGAATCAGACACATCATTTTATTTTATTTATTAAAATAGAACATATATTCTAGCAGCATTTATTATGGAAACAAATTTAAGTGTTATCATTACCTGTTCTTTTAATGCTCTTTTAAAATTAGTTAAGTATTTAAGTAAAGTTATAGTTACTCATTCAAAAGTAAAGACTTTTATTTCTTGCCTCCATTCTTCCATTATCTTAATAATTGGTTTTAGGCAAGCCCCTAATGTTTTGCATTATTCTTTCAAAAAGTTCTCAGTATTACTAAAGATTACCCAGTATTTATTCCAGCTAATAAATTTTCGTTATATTGCACTAAGATTAGTTTCTATTTAAATAATTGACCTAATGAAAAGTTTCCTTCATTTGAAAACAGAATGACGTTGAGGAACTTGACAGCGTTCTGACAGCCATATTTAAACATCAGATACCGTATTATGAGTTCCAGTCTCTTCCAGCTGAAATCCACTCTCAAAAAGAATGTAAGTATTTTCCAGCTGTATTATAATAGTTAGTCTTTATCATATGCCACAGTATGTAACTCTTTAATAAGTATTATATCCAAGAATATAGCTAGCTGCACTGCTGGTTGAAGTATTTAGACAACTCCTGACTCCCAGTGGAAGGGGAGTACTTAGAAGTTTACAAACTTCTAAAGGTCTAGTTGGGAAATTTTTTTTTTTTTATCACAGGCCCAAAAAATGTGCATAACTTTGCAATTAGCAAATCTACTTCCTGTTTATCTTCTAAGGAAATTTTTGGGCACGTACATTTATGATGGATATTATTTATCATATCATTGATTATAATTACCAAAATATGGAAGTAACTTAATCTTCCAAAGATTGTTAATTAATTATATAAATTTTGGTACATCTCTTAATGTAACCATTGGAAATTAATGTTATTATAAATTTATTGGCTGGCTTGAGTGATGTTTTGATGTATTCTTAATTCAATAAAAGGCAGGCTATGTAGCAGTAGAGTGTGATCTTCTGTTTAAAACAATACATGTGATATATTTAATTGCATGTATGTTTATACATATAAATTGATGGTCTGGACATACATATACTTAGTGTTCACAGTAGTTACATTTGGGCTGTGCAATTTCAAAGATAACTTTTAATTTTCATTTTCTTGAATCTGTATTTTCTACAATGACTATATATTATTTGTGTGGTAAAACACGTACAGATATCAATTAAAGTATATATAGGTACTAAGCATGAAAAATTATATTTCCATGTGTAATCATGAGTTCAGTCGTATATTTTAGAAATTTTTTGTTTCCGCATGATTTGTTGAAATACTGTTTATAATTCATTTATATGCCCAGTATGTGCAAAACACTAATGTAGGGATATAATGGTGAATAAGACAGGCATGAAGCTGAAGAGTCTAAGTCTGGTGTTGATACAGCGAGGACTAATAGCAGGGTTTTTTTCTGTAGAGTTTCTGTGCTATTTAAAGCAGTTTTATCATTGACCCAGCAGGCTGCAGGCAGCAGCAGGAGAAGAGTAGGAGTATTGGGGCAGAGTGATTGCCACTCCCCTGGATATGTGAGAAGCTGCAAGAGTGAGGTTCTTTTACAGCGAAAAGTCAATAATATGCTAGTTTTGAGAAAATAATCTTGTGAGATTAGTGAACATTTATTGTTGCTTCTTATTTTAACGATATATAACTCAATAAATTAGGTATTAGCTTAGGGTAGGAAAGGAACATGACATGATTCCTCACTTAAGATGTTTACAATTTAATCGGGGAAACAAGATAATATACATGTAATAATAGAGAGAAACAACGTGATAAACTTTGTGGAGGTAATCATATTGATAGAAGAATTTGAGGTAAAAGATACATTATTTTTCAGCATGTGTTTCACAAAGGAGGTTGGATTTTACCTAGGTCGTAAAGGATGGATAGGGTAGCCATGAGAGGGAGAAAAGGAAAAGGAATTTTCTAGACGAGAGAAAGTGCATGCAAAGGTATGAGGTTGGAATTATGACCCAATTTTTACAAATTTCCTCAGAATTTTATGTGGGCAGGTTTGTGGAATCAGACTTGTGGTGTTGGAGAGGATGAAATGGTTTTGGTCACTCTTTGTAGGTAGAGAATTATAGGTAAGTTTAAAAGTGCTCATCAGTACGTTGTTTAGGTTATGGAATGAGAATTTTCGAGTTTGAAAGAACGGAATGGATTGGTCACTTATTTTCATAGATGAAGAATTCTGAATGGATTAAATCAGGGCCCCTGAAAATACGAAGCTGATTCAGTAGGGCTGGGGAACGTTCTAAGTGTCTGACTTTTTAACAACCAAAACGGTGAAGCTGATGCGGCTAAACCTCAGACCTCCCACTGAGTATCAAGGCTTACGGCAGTGACTCTCAAACTTGGCTGCTTATTGTAATCACCTGTGGAGCTTTTAAAACATCCATGCAATACTCCCCACCCTCCCTACCATTCAGCCCTGGTAACCTGTATTCTATTTTTTGTCTCTATGAATTTGCCTATTGTAGGTACTTACATAAGTGGAATCATACACCATTTATTTTTTTATTGGGTACAAAGTTTCAGTGTGGGATGATGGGAAAGTTCTGGAAATGGATAGTGATTATGGTTGTACAATAATGTGAATGTACTTAATGCCAATGAATTGTATGCTTAATGTTTAAAATGGTAAATTTTATGTTATGTATGTTTTACCACAATAAAAATGTCACCCAAAAGAAAAAAAAAATCCATGCTTAAACCAATGAATGAATTAATGAATTCATTACTAGTAATTCGTTAATGAATTACTAATGAATTAATCTGGGGGTAGGTCCCAGCTATCTGTAGTTTTTAAAGTTTCCCAGGTGATTCCAATGGGCAGCCAAGTTGACCAGCCCCTAAATGCTTCAACGTATTATAGACCAGCAAGATAATACATCCTCACACTGATTTGTGACACAGAGAAAATGTTAGCCTCTCTTTGCAAAGGTTATATAGTTAGTAGCATATGAAAATTTCCAACCATTGCTAGAATTTAATGATAATTTTGTGTTTTACTAAAATTGTTACAAAATGCAGTTATATTTTTTTAAAAAAAGGGTAAAAATGGAAAGTTTAATATAACCCAGATAACTCATGTAGAAATCTTTTTGCTGTGTTTTGTTGGATAACAGATGCTATCCAACCTATAAAAGAACCAACAATCCTCATAATGTTAAGCTCTAATTTCTAGTTAAAATTAGTACTACAAAATAACATAAGAAAAGCTGTGTAATACAAATATGCAAGGTACACACGAAGACGACCCTGTAGTCTTGGGTCAATGTCAGCCTCAGAGTATCTGGTCTTGAAGACCTTGCATCTGTGTTTCATAATGTTCAAGCTGATGGGTGATACAGTTTGAGTTGCCTTTATACATAAATTAACTGAGGGACTATGTGAGAAAAACGGCAGGTTATTGACGAGCCCACTATCTGAGCAATAAGTTCAGCAAAAAAATGAATCAAATATAACCCCAGGTGTCTATCCCTGAGGACAGGTCTCTAATTATTCGGTGAAACGTTTTACTTATTACACATTTATTATTTATTTTCTATATTTTGGCTGAAATAAATTGGAAGTTAGAGCATTATGAGGGGAATGCAGTGATAAGGAATTGACAAAGTGTACCCTGATATTGACCTGCCGTAAGGGGGAGTCACAGAGTTACCCACAGACACCTGAGGTTCTTTGAAAGTATAGAGCTAAACGTGGCGTCAGTCAAAACTGTTTATCTTATTATCATCCATCATCTCTTTTGTTCAAAGTTATTTTGGTAAATTCTGAGCTTAGTTCCCGGCCACTTCATTTTTAAAAAGTACAGTACCATTCCATGTCATCGCATCTTGGCCATTTTTACTCCTGTCTCAATAATACATTTTCTCATTTGACATATGTTTCCTCGGTTCCCCGCCGCCAGGCAGGGAAAGCTGGGGGTGGGTGGAGATAAGATGGAAAGTTCATAAGAAATAAAAATCTGCTTTAATGTCTGTTATTGATTTAAAAATAACGTTTTCCATCGACAAGAATTTTCCATACAAAATAGTTCTCCCTGGGAGTGGAATAATATCAGGTTTCTAAATGAATTTGCGATATTAATCTAATAGGAGTTTTGAACAAAAGGGCATAGAAATAATTCATGAAGAACTTTCTAGTGTGACTCATCAGGACTGTGAAATCAAGGTGAGAGCTGAGACAGGCAACTGTTTGCCGATGTGTAAGATGTTAGAAGAGAAAATATCAGAGTGCGTCAGGAAGGAAGAGCATCATTTTAAACCGCTTCTGTTTTGGTTGTAGCTGTGTACATAAACATCATGACATAGATGGAGCTAAATGCTGCTACATTTCATGTTACACACCAGGAAAAAGCCGAACGCACTGACCGGGTGCGGTGATGAGGCAGGACAGCGCCTTAGCCAGACGCAATTGCTGCAGCCTCTCTGTGCTGCTCCCCTGCTCTGAATTTCAAGCCTTCACCGGCAAAGTCTCATAAATCTCACTGCAGCAGGTCCGTGGATTTTCCTAACTCCTCTTCAAAGCCCTTCCAGAGCCTGGATAATGCAGAGAATCTCCTGTCATGGCAGGAAAAATTAAATAGTTTATCTTGTTTTGAAAGAGCCTACAGTTGCTTGTTGGATCCCCCTGAGTGGCAGTTAGTTTAGGAAAAAGGAAACTGGGTTATTTTGCTCAGATTATCTCCCTTCACCCAGAAAGAACTGGCTCAGGAGGGCCCATGGCAATTTCTAGAAAAGCGTGTCACAGGATATATACATTTACAATATGTAACAATATTTTAATACAAAAGAGGACAGTATATAATCCCTGTGCCATGTGACAGTATTAGCCTAGAACATTGTTTCCCAATATGTCTATTAGGTGGGGAGCATGTGGCCGGACGGTCAGTGCGTAGGCGGTGGCCACTGCAGCTCTGAGGTTTGTCTTGAACTTGTGATATCTCCAGGCTCACTCAAAATAGATCATTTCCTGAGTGGAGGAGAACTAACCGTCCACATTGGGTTGTCTTTTATATTTTGCCAAATAATTTAAACACGTAGAAAATACAGAGATTAATATGAAAAACACCTGTATCCACCACTTAGGTTGGTCAGAGCTTAACATTTAGCCACATTGGATTCAGATTGTTTTTAATAAATAAAACATTACAGATCTAATTGAATTTCTCTGTTTCGCTCTGTGATTCCACACACTTGAATAGTAACCATTACTTTAATTAAATTTTTTGACAAGCATTCCCATACAGTTCTTTATCGTTTTACTACATATGTTTGTTTACATAATTTATATGTACTGTTGCACAATTTTGTAAGTTTTATGTAAATGATATACTTTTTCCTTCAAGTTACTTTTGCCCAATATTAATTTTTTTTTTATAATTTATATGTATATTTGTAGATCTAGGG